AATGAAACGCATATTGTCCTAAGAGGAACATACGACCTAATTATATAATTAATTACATTAATTAATTATCGGGTTTTTCAAAATAATTATAGAACCTCAACTAGCATAAATCATTCAAATAATGTTGAGGTACTACTAATTAAGTTGAACTATAATCAATATTATATATGTGTTCTATTAATTGAAATCAATTTAACAATTTAAATTAATTAATTAATCTAACACCTATTTACTAAAATAGATGATTGTCGATCCAATTATCTAATTGGGATTAATTGAAAATAATTTTCCAAAAATTAAAATCAATTTGTTTTAAGTTTAATTTTAGAAATCTGAAATAATTTTTTTTTTTTTTTATTTTCAGTGAACCGGTTCGGCCCAACCGGACTGACCGGTTCGGACCGAAGCGGTCCGGTTCTGTCCGGTCCAGCTGACCCAAATCAGTGGGCCGGGTCAGTCGGACCGGGAACCGGTCTGACCGACCCGAATCCACGTGGATTCGGTCAACTAAATCGCACACAACCATCGAACCAGCCGGTCCGACCGGTTCGATCCGAACAATTAAAAATCCGACATTTTTAAAACAATTTCAGATCCGATTTTCCAATTTTAAACAATTTTAAAGCTGGAAAAATTCTAAACAATATTTCGAAAATATTTTAAACTTACGAAAACTCCCAATTACATAATACAACAATCACTACTTTAATAAATCGAACATGCATAAAATCATAGAATATTATACAACGCAATTAATTACGCAACGAGCTCTGATACCACTGTTGGCTTTCGGGCACGTGTACGCAGTGGAAAACAAAAATTTAATGTGATTTAAACGACTTTAAAGCACACAAGCACATGCCCGACAAATTAAAATCAATTAATTGCGTACCTTTGCGCTTCCAGCGAAATTAAAAACAACATACATGCTAAATAATTTAACCGAATTTAAATCAATTAACATGCTCGCGTTTAAACCAAATAACATGCTTGCAATGATTAAAACGATTACACATAATCACATAAAATCATACGAAAGCAAACATGAAAATATAGTTTAAACGTAAACGAATTGAAACAAGGGATTCGTGTGTTTACCTCTTGAAGCGTGAGGTAGGAGCGCTTAGCAAGTCGAGATTGCTACGGAAACCAATCCGTACAATCGGGGCAGCAGCGGTGAAACGGCCACGGCGGCGCGTGGATTTCACGCGCGGTCTTCTGGGGCGGCGCGTGGGGTAGCGTGCGGCTTCGGCTCGTGCGCTGCTCCTCGATTCCTCGATCTTCGATCTTCCTCCTCTCGGATTTCACCTCGTATACTTCGATCTACTAAACACGTGGCACTAGACACGTAATAGTTAGAAAAACGGAAGAAAAAGAGAAGGAAAGAAACTACCGAAGCAATCGGCCGACGAACGGCCGATTCTGGTGAAATTCCGGCGACGGCGCCGGTGATGGCCGCGGGAGAGAGAGGCCGAGAGAGAGAGGTGGACGGCTGCTAGGGTTAGGGTTTTTTACTTGTGTGTGCAAGACCTATAAATCTTGTATTTATAGTGTCTTGCATAAAACCCTAGCGGGCTTAAGTTGGACCGGGCCCAACAGCTTAAGTTCGCTAGTACTTTTACTTGCTCGTTTCTCTCAATCCAATGATTGGAAAATTGCAACAATTACATTTTCGGAATCATTATAATATCCTCGTCATTACGAGTGCCATCTTTCATTTTCCAACTTTCCAAAAGTGGAAACCCTAGTTCAGTGCACTTTCTAAATTTGGAAACTTCCCGATTTAGAAAGTTCACTAACACGTTCGCCTATTCATTTCCTTTTCTTATTCTCATTCATAATTCCAAATTACGAATGTTGGACTCAATCGTATTGACTTCCAATTATGCAAAGATAAACTATTTTATATCTGACCGTTTATTCAAAGATCTCATGTGCACGAGCAGTGTGACCCTCGATGGTTCAGGTGTAAGCTAACCGTGGGCCCACAACTCTTTGTGGTCAAAACTCGTCCCTTAGAGTTACGATTAAGATGAAGCTCGTTTCACCTTAATCACCCAACGAATCAAGATTGGCGTCTAGCAACTACGCGTCATGATTCCCTAGATACAAATGAAGTGCCTGCAAGAACCTTCAGATATAGTTAACGTACAGTACGGTCCCTTCGATTCATATGTCCCGATCGAACTAGAGGCATTGGTTCATCGAGACCTCTTTATATGTTCGATGACGGTGCGATCGTTCCAAGTGTTGTAATCGTCACGTGCATGACTTAGAGAATCGAATTCTCTAATCATCACTTAGTCAGCTCTGGCCAGAGACTTAGAATGATTACAAACTTTCAGAACACACAGGACATCCAAGACTATTCTAGCGATCGAATCCCCGACTACAATGCACAGACCTCCCACTAGATTTCGGACTGCACGAACACTGGCCCTTGGGATGGTCCTCGGTGGAACTCAGGGACAGGTCACGATACAGCTGGTCCTCTAGTGAAGTCACGGTGATGTCTAGGTCATAAGGACTAATGGTGTACAACTATACCATAGATATCTCTACTCGATTATTGGGAACCACTTAGAGATTTCTAGGGTGAGGGAGTTCAGTGAACTCGTCAACTTACGAGCACCCACTTATGCATGCCGATATCACAATAGCGTTTACTGATGAGATGCAGTACACATACACTAAGTGCTAGTCTTAATGGGAAAGGCAGATATCCTCATTAGTGGCGTAACCCTTCGACTAGGAACACGTTTAACAGTTATAATACTTGAGTAATATCTCATGATCCTAACGATCAATTACTAGTACTTGTAATAACTATAAGGACTATATCTATGCTTGTGACAAAGGGACAAAGATATAGAATGCCAAGGTGTTTTATCATTAATACGAATAAAGGTTCGTTTATTACAATAATAAATACGAAAGACCACAGCCACAAGTTGGCTTGTTGGTCACCTACTCTAACATATAAAAACATTAAAAATCTCACTTTTTTTTTCTTCAATACCAACACACAAAACCCCTCAAACTCATCTCATTCTTCACAAATCCTTCAACCTCCTCCTTCTTCCTCACAACAAACCCTCTTAAAAAAGCTCAAAACTAAAGAAATTAAAACCTCACACAACTTACAAAATGGAGTCAAATGACAACAAATTGATAGTTTACGACCAAGGAGAACACATTAAGGTAAGCACCCATGTCTTTTTTGAGTTTCGAATTCGATTTTAAAGTTTTTTTTTTTTGAAACCCGCCGACAGTTTTTGACACATACATGTCGATTTTTTTGTCAATTTTCAACACCAGCGTGTAGAAAAATATATTTTAAAAAAATAATATCGACAGGTATGTGTCGAAAAAACACTGTTTGTTTACAAAAATAAAAATAAAAATAATTTTTTTTTGCAGCAGTGATTTTTAGACAGATACATGCCGAAATTTCAACTTGTGTGTGTCGAAAATCGTCGACGGGTTTAAAGAAAAACTTCAAAATTCACTTCGAAGCTAAAAAAAGATAAGGATACATACCTTATTAGGTTCTCATATATACTACGATTTTATTGTCTTGTGACTCCATTTTATAAGTTTTGTGAGGTTTTGATTTTTTTGAATTTGGAGATTTATTGGAGGAATTATAAGATGAAGAAGAAGAGAGGGTATAAGGGGTGTGGTTTTGGGTGAGGAGAATAGATGATTTGTTTTTCTTTTTTATCATTGGTATTGAAATGAGGAAAAATAAAATTTGATTGTATAAATTGTATTCTGTTTGATGAAGGGTATTTTAGTACTTTGCTAATATTTTTTTTTTATTTGTGGTATTAAACTAAGAAATATTTGTAAAAACTTCTATAAAAAATGATTTTAAACTTAGTGATATTGAAGTGAGAAAAAAATGGTATTAATTTTAATCGCCCCATAATAATGATAAGGCTGCAGCGGCTATATGCAAGACTAATTTCACGTGTGCAAGACCAAATTAAAATTTTCAATGTATAAATACTATAATACCCTTACTTGTTAAAAAAATAGAAAATTCCAAATGTGCAATACCAAAAACTCAAAAACACAAAAAACCCTATCACAAAACTACAAGACCAACTCTCATCTTCCAAAACCCACAAAACCTTTCTCATTCCTCCTGCATAAACCCACTAAACCTAAACATTCAAAATTATCAAAACTCAACAAATGTTACAAAGATGGCAAGTATGGAGTCAGAAGACATAAAAATAGAAGATTATATACGGTGGAAGAACCCAAGAAAGTATGCATCTATGTGTTTTTTAACTAGATATTGTTTTTCCAAAAAAAATCCGGCGTAGACGCGGTCGACATGTACAGGTCGAATTTTATAGGTAAAAATCGACATTGAGATGTCGATTTTGGAGTACAAAATCGACACCTTAGTGTCGAAATTTAACTGTTAGCAAATTAGTCTAAATATACTAAATTTCGACATTAAGGTGTCAAATTTATGGACATATATTCGACACCTTAATGCCGAAATTTAGTTGTTTCATATTTTTTTAACTTTTTATTTTCCAATTACTTTTTATTTCAATATTCACTTATTTTTTATAGCAAAAGGCGAATGCGAAGACGCAGTTTATTATCCAAATTCATCGAAGGTTTCAAAAATATGTACATGACATCAAGAACGTCACATTAAGAGTGGCGGTCCGCGGCGGAGCTTGGACGTAGGGTAGGGTTTCACAGGGGAGGGGGGGTGAGTTTTTTAATTTTCGCGTTTTCTTTGTTTTCTACTTTTTGGGTTTTTCTTTTTTTCGTTATTTGTTATTTGGTAGCAAACAAAAGCCAATTTAATTTATGGATATATTTGTCATTTCATCTTAATAAAATGGAATATTTTGGAATATTTCTTTAATTTAATCTTAGACGAGTAAAATTAGTATTGCATATACTCGCAGCCTAATAATAATCATCAACAACAACAATGATGAAATATGCACACACGCATATATGAGAATATGTGTAAAATGAGTAGTTGTCGATATACCTTCTCAAAAAAAAAAAGAAAAAAAGAAAAAAAGAGGAGTAGCTGTCAATATACATGTATTGTGAGATTTATACTCTATGAAATTAAGCAAGTGTGGTGTATCATGGAGGAAATTCAGATCTGACTCTACTTACATAAATAACAAAATAGCGAAAAAAACACAAACACAGGAGAAGAAAGGAGAGGGAGGTGGACTACAATTACAATTCACCGCTATCTGAAATGATAACTTCCGTTTTGGGTGTCCCGCTCTGCCTCCCCTGTGCTTCGATCTTTTGCACCACTTCCATTCCAGATACCACTTTCCCAAACACAACATGCCGTCCATCCAACCTTTCAACCACGAGACAACAAGTTCATTTGTAACAGAAATTAATCTATTTATTTATTTACTTATTCAAAAACTACTAGTTGGACCAGCAAGAATATCAATATGGTGGTGGTGTACTTACCAGCTTGTTATCACTGTTGTGATGAAAAATTGAGATCCATTACTATCCGCTCCAGAATTTGCCATTGAGAGCACCCCTGTAAATTGTAATGAATGTCACATTGTATGTGTATATACAATAAGAAAATATTTGTACAGGCATCAACAGATAATTATCGATTAAGGAATAGAGAAAGTACTGACCAGGACCAGTGTGCTTTAACTTGAAATTCTCGTCAGGGAATTTGTCGCCAAATATTGATTCACCACCACGACCATTACCAAGAGTGAAATCGCCACCTTGGATCATAAAGCCTGGTATTATCCTGTGGAATTTGCTCCCTTTGAAGTGAAGGGGCTTACCGCTTGTTCCAATTCCTTTCTCTCCTGCCATTTCATAACAAAGTAGAGTGTAATAATACATATTAGAACATCATACATATATGTATGTATGTAATTTTTATTTTTCTTTTGTCTTTGAGAAATCATTAGAACATCTAAGTTGCCAGCCCAGTTATGCATGGATAACTAATAATATGACACTAGCTTTTCTTGTTCTGCCTATAAAATATTTTCGAGAGGACATGTTTCACATCATTTATCAGTAAAAGCGGTAAATGGGGGAAAATGTTACTCGACTACCCGTGCAAAGAGCTCGAAAGTTTTCTGCAGACAAAAAAGGGGATATGTTAAGCACAATCACTCAATTGATCAAAACAAGCATAATTAACAGACGCAGGTTCGTTCTGCTCAAACGAAAGCCTACCTGCGGTCTTTGGTACGGTTTTTCCAAAGAGGCCAATCACAATACGACCTGAAAATGCCACAAGCAACCTGGTTATTATCTGTTTGAGATTAAAATGGCACTATTGTTGTTTTTTTACGGTCCTCTTTTTTTGGGTCTATTAATGCATTCCGGTACATCATCGGCAACAGTGTTCACAACTTCCAACACGTTCTAGGCAACATATCCAATAGAAGAGTGCACTCAGGTATTCAGATAACCCATATCCTACACTTCATGCAATAGTTTGGGACTTCAACTAACTTAATATATCAACAAACGGAACTTATACTAAGTGGAATATCAAGCTGGAAAGAGTTAAAATACCACATCTTATATCCCGGTTTAAGCACTATAAAAACATGGGAAAATCAAAGATAGGCCTGAAGACACAGCCTTGTCATCAAATCTTATTTTCAAATTAATTCAGTAGGTTTATATGCTCGTCAAATTAAACAGCCTTCTCGTCAAATCTAAGGATCAATGTCCCCTAGTTCTGCCGTCTGTCATTTTGATGATGATAGATCTAAACTCAGTTAGTTACAAATATGCATAAATATGTTCCTCCAGATCAACCAACGGCAAGTGCTAAAAACACTGGCTGTACCGACATGCTAAAAGTGGCATATGATCAAACTACATAATAAATTCTCAACTTTTTTCGTCGACTTAATTCCATTATTGTCCAAGTCCCAACATCTCCATCAGTTGCACAAATACACTTCAAGATTCACATATCCAATCAACAATTTGCAGTTAAGCATACACCATATAAGACAATAATTGAAATATAAAATGCGAATAAGTGAAACAGATAGATGTACTCATTCAATCGAAAAACGACATAATACGACTGATATGTAAAACAACCCTGCCAGCCAGCATCTCACATTGCTAATGTACAAGAAAACATACATACATACATACCAGTGTGTTTCCCGTCAATTTCGATGTCGAAGTAAACTTTATGTGTGACTTCATCTGCATCCTGCAAAATCCCCGCCTACATAAATTTAACAAATTCAATGATTTTCCCCCCTGTCGTACGAGATTCACCAAATTATGAGATTGATTTGTTTCTAGTTTATTAAAAACCTCTTTGTCGAGCCCAATTGCCTTTTGATCTGAAGAAATTCCTGCTTCGCTTAATCGATTCTGAAATTTAAATGCAGGAAAACTCTCGTCATTGAAAACGATGAACAAGAGGTAGTAGGGAAATTAAAAATGACAAGGAAAAGAGTACCAGAATTAGGGCTAGGGTTCCAAATAGAATGAGAACCCACATAATTACTATTGGGAGCAATTTTCTTGAGTTGGCCATCACATTCACTGCAACAGATTTTCTGGAACCGACTTTCTGGAAAGGGAGGAAGAAGATGAAGAGTCGCAAGTTACTGTGCGCTTAGGCTTTGTTTGGTTCCAATTTTTGTTTGTTCAAATTACGTGTATAAAACTTCCAAAAAAGAAAAAGGGCAAAATACACTTTACCCCATGTACTATACCTTATGTAACACTTACCCCTTAAACTATTGAAAATACATTTACCCCTATTTTAATGGTTAACCTATTTGACTCTTAACGATGTTAGTAGTAAAATAAATTTAATATATTTTTAATAATTCTTACTAAATAACAAATTTTTTATTTAAAAACATAATATATGTACTATGAATAAATTAAATAAATATTTAAGATAATAATATTTTTTAAATTTAAATAAGAAAAATATTATTACTTTTTCAATTCAATATATTTTTTAATAATTCATAAGAAAGGACACCTAATTTTTATTACAAAAATATTTTTTCACTGTGGATAATTATATTAAATAAGTATTTAACATGTATAAAATTTTACATATAGGATTAAAATATTTAATCATTAGATATTTATATTAAAAATTGTAATTCTACGGTAGTGTTTTTTTAACGATATATGCTAATAATTTATTTTATTTATTTGTAACATCAAATTTCATTTAAGTCTTTTACATTTAGGATTAACTATACGAATTTTAATGTTACAAATAAATGTTAAAATTCAATGTACACAATGTTTAACGAGTTAAATAATTTAACTCAGAATATGAAAAAATATACTTGCTACTTGGTTGTATAAAATAATACATGAAAAATTATACTGTTTAAATATTATTTTTTTTAAATAAATATTTAACAAGTAAATTATATTTAATCCGAATTTTAAAAAAGAATTGCTATCTTAAATATTTATTTAATATTTTCGTAGTACATGTAATATTTTTTGAAGTAAAGAAAATGTGTCGTTTAGTAAGAATAAAAATATGTTAAATTTATTTTACTACTAACACCGTTAAGAGTCAAATAGGTTGACCATTAAAATAGGGGGTAAGTGTATTTTTCATAGTACAAGAAGGTAAGTGTTACATAGGACATAGTACAAGGGGGTAAAGTGTATTTTGTCCAAAAGAAAAATGAAATTACGTGTATGATATTCTAGAGTGAAAATATAGAAACAGAAAAACAAGAAAACTAATTTTAGATTAGAGTTAACAGCATTAAATATAATGAACCTTATAGTTTCATTGAATTATATATAGGATTTTGTAGAACCTACACATCGTGAAATTGATGTACATTGGCCAAAAATATGATGAGGCCCAAAAATTATAACTATAATATTTGGGCCCAATTATGAATTAAAAGCCCAAGATCACATTCCATGCCCATAGTAAGATTCCGTATATAAATGCTTTACGTTTATTGAGAAAAGGTAATTTTTCTATTCGAGAGACATTAGAATACTTTCTTCTCATATTTTACTCTGATATTCTTCTCTTGGAATCTGGACTGACTTAAGCATCGGAGGGTTTTCGCCGGAACCAAGCTCCGGCACCCTAACGTATATTTTTCTTACGCAGGAAACGCCTAATCCATTAAATCGAAGATCTTCACCAGACCGTATCGATTCCTGAATATTCGTTGCAGGTTTAATTTGAGGTGATTCGAGTTAACTTATTGTTGACCGCATCATTTTTGGCGTCGTCTGTGGAAATATATCTTAGGATACTTTATATTTTATTTATCTTTAGAACAAATTCAGTCAAATAAAAACATAATTAGAGAGTTCAATACAAGTGAAAATAAAACAAAAACAATGAAAAACATGAGAATAAATATTTATAAATCCTAAAATATTTTTTCTTATGAAATTGAAAAGAAGAGAGTTGTCTTAAGAAAAAACAAGAAAAAAGGGTATAATTGGTATACCATGTAATCGAGGGGTAAATGAATAATTTTATAGTAGATGGGAGGCAAGTGAGAGTTTTTATATAGTACAGGTCTACAGGAGATGAAAGTAAAAGTTTTTATATAATAAGAAGAGATAAGTGAAGTTAACTCTAAACAATATTGAATATCTCTTGATTTACCTTAAGCAAAATAATACTTAAATATGTTGGCCGACTAACAGATAATTGATAATTGAAAAGAACATGAAAACTCTAAAGACTATAATAATATTAAATATATAGTGGTTTGTTCAATCAAAACTACACGAAAAGTTCTTGCAAAGTTGCAATATTAAAACAAATAAGGAATGAGAAGAAAGGTAATATCAAATTCAATTATTAAACGAAAATGATAATTTCAAATTTTATTAAATTTTCATATATTAATCATAAATACATTATGCATACAAAATTACTACTATGTATCATAAATATTATTACTACCTACTAAGGAGTTACTACTTTATACATCATATTGGGGTTTATCAAAATTTTAAAATGTAATTTCATAAAAATATAAATTTAGTGAATTGTTAATTTTAGCAAAATCAAAACTAACAAAAAAAATTATTTAAACAATATTAGTGTTCAGAGTATTAAGTTACCAAAATTCTACTATATATTATTTGACTGCAAATTCCTTATGAACACAAAAAAACATTTTAGTAAAAGCACAAGTAGAAATTAGAATAATAAGTTGGGGTTGGGGATAAACGAAATACAAAGTCGTCCGATTCCTATTAGCGTTTCATAGTAATGACTAATGACTAATCCAAATAAATATTGCATTAAATTAATTAAGTAGTAACGTCGTCGATCCATCTTCAAATTAATTAATACTCCTTAAATACTTATTCTCTCTCTCTCTAACATGTCCCCCCACCCCCACCCCAAGTCGCCTCAGAAAAGTCTTCCCTCCTATTCTTAATTATTATTATTATTTATTTTCAATTTTGCAGTATTTAATCAATATTGTATCTTTCTTCTTATATTCCATTTTCAGATTTCAGAAAAAAGAATTCATGGATCTATCTAACAGTAATAACAAGGCTTGTAAGAAAGAAACATTCTACCATTAATCCTTAACACGTTCTTCATACGCGTAACACCCATTTGTATATATATATATATACCTACACCATTTCATATACATGTATATTTAATCTGTTTGTATTTCTTTGTTTTTGTGTGTGTGTGTGTGTACACAAATAGAGAGAGAGAGAGAGAGAGAGAGAGAGAGATTTTGAAGAGAGAGAGAGAGAGAGAGGATATATAGGATATATCATATATGAGACAAGATTGGGTATATATATATATAATTAATTAATTGATGGGGACGAATTACAATGTTTACAAAGTGCTGGGATGCTTCAGCCGGAAGTTCAAGATCACCGATTCGCAGCCGCCGCCGGATGTGAGGGAGGCGTTCTGGCGGTACGCGGAGGGGGCGCCCCAGATGACCGCGGATCAGCTCCTCAAGTTCCTGGTCGACAGCCAGCGGGAGGAAGGCTACACCGTCGCCGACGCGGAGGCGATCATACAAAACGTGTTCCGCCGCCGCAGCCACGTCAGCAGGCGCAACGGCCTCACCCTCGAGGACTTCTTTGACTTCCTCTTCCAAGATGATCTCAATGCCCCAATCCTTTCTCATCAAGTATGTACATATATTATTGCCTTCGATATATCGCCACCAAATTACATAAACAAGATGTGTAAATTTCGTAATTATATTATTCTTTTGAACTATATATATATATATATATATATATTTGTCACGTTGACCTGAATTAATGATATCACATATATCATTACTTCAAATTACGTAAATTTATAAAATAAATTAATTATTTAATTTAGAAAAACTTTCAAAAATTGAAATACACATGTACTATATGTAATTACTAGTGTATAAAAACTCCAAAAAAAAAAAAAAATTAAAATTGCAGGTGCAGCATGATATGAGTGGTCCATTGCAAGATTATTTCATATACACAGGGCACAATTCCTACTTAACTGGAAATCAGTTGAGCAGTGACTGTAGTGAAATCCCTATTATTAATGCTCTCAAAAACGGCGTCAGAGGAATCGAGCTCGATCTATGGCCTAACCCCACTAAAGACAATGTACACGTTCTTCACGGCAGGTACATATATCCTCGTACTCTACACACATTATTTATTAGCATGATAAAAAATCGAGATTTCAAGATTCCCAATAATCGATTGTACTACTATCACTATATATGAATATGTTGTTCAATAAATGTGAAGTTGTTGTAATAACTTGTAGGACACTCACAGCTCCGGTAACACTTAGCAAATGCTTAAAGTCTATTAGAGAGCACGCGTTTGTTAGTTCTCCGTACCCTGTCATCGTTACTTTAGAAGATCACCTTACTCCAGATCTTCAGGCTAAAGTGGCTGCCGTAAGATAGATTTAATTTATATTAATTAGAAACAGATCTGGATTTTATTATTATTTTCTTAAATTTTTGGATTTTAATTTTATTGTTTTGGTAGATGGTTATGCAAATCTTTGGAGACATGCTGTACTGCCCCGACCCGGAATGCTCGAAGGAATTTCCTTCGCCGGAGGCTTTAAAACATAAAATTATACTATCAACAAAACCACCTAAAGAGTACCTCGGTTTGAAAATTGTCGAGGATGGAGAGAATATTCCCTCACTGCAAGAAAAAGATTCTTCTGAAGATGAACAGTTGCCGACAGAAACATCAAAATCTACGGTGGAGCCAGAAGTACAAGAAGCCAAGGTAAAACGAAAGAAACTAATAATTAAGTTATTATATATATTGTATAACTATTCAAGTTGCTAATGCTCTCTCTCTCTCTCTCTCTCTAGAATGATCGTGAAGGGGATAATGTAGATAGTGATGCGACCGTACGACAAAAATCGGGAAATGTGGGAGGACATGAATATAAGCAACGGATAGGCGTTCGTGCCGAGAAAGCGAAAAGAGGGTTGAGGCAAGTACTAAGAACTGGAATTGATAAAGTTAATCGACTTAGTCAGAGTGAGCGTAAAGCTATTTTATCGAACAAAACACCTAAAGGTTACAATATTGCATCTAACACTAACAACAAAGTTGAAGATCAAACTCCCACTCCACACGAAAAAATTAATCTACTTAGTCAGAGTGAGCGTAAAGCTATACTATCGAACAAACCACATAAAGATTACAATATTGGATCAAACACCAACAACAAGGTTGAAGATCGAACTCCCACTCCACACGAAAAACAAGATTCCTCTCAAGACGAAGATGATGAATACAAGGTATAAAAACCGATAAATTTATTTTAAAAAAGTGTTTTTTTTCTTTTACCACTATTTTAACTGTAATTTAAGGTGTCTAACTAATTCTCTCTCTCTCTCTCTCTCTCTCTCTCTCTCTCTCTCTCTCTCTCACACACACACAGACACACACACACATGCAGAGTAGTAGTAGTGACGAGGATGATGAATATGGTGACAACTTCGAGCAAAGATCGGGCAGTTTAGGGGCAGCACCGGAATATAAGCGTATAATAGGAATTCATGCTGGGAATGCTAAGAAAGGGTTGATGCAAGCACTAACAATCGAAGCTGATAACGTCAGTCATAGACTTAGTCTGAGTGAACATAGGCTTGAAAAGGCTGCTTCTTTACATGCAACAGATGTTGTAAGGTGCTTTGCTCTGCTCCTTACTTCTTTCTCTCTCTCTCTCTCTCTCTCTCTCTCTCTCTCTCTCTCTCTCTCTCTCTCTCTCTCTCTCTCTCTCTCTCTCTCTCTCTCTCTCTCTCTCTCTCTCTCTCTCTCTCTCTCTCTCTCTCTCCTTTCCTTTTTCCGTTGTTGTCTGATCAATTCTTTCATCGTTGTTCAATCCTAAATATCCTTTTTTTCAGGTTCACGCAGAAGAATATTCTGAGGGTGTTTCCTAAGGGAACGCGAGTGACATCGTCGAACTTCAGGCCGACTACTGGATGGATGCATGGAGCTCAGATGGTTGCCTTTAATATGCAGGTTCTTTCGTAATTTCGCGCTGCTTTTTGCGTTTCTTGTGGGGAGTAAATTAATAATATGTTTTGATTTTGATTTAATAATCAAAAACAGGGATATGGGAAATCACTGTGGATGATGCATGGCTTGTTTAGAGCCAACGGAGGGTGCGGTTATTTCAAGAAGCCTGATTTGCTGACGAGAAGAGGTCCAAACGATGAGGTGTTTGATCCGAAATCAACATTGGCTGTGAAAAAGACGTTAAAGGTAACTGTTTACATGGGAGATGGATGGGCTCTCGATTTCAGCCAAACGCATTTTGATGCATTTTCACCACCGGACTTCTACACAAAGGTTAGTAGCGCGCTATAGTACCTCTAAATATTACAACCTTATAAACAATCTCGAGCCATACACAACATATGCTACATCCATTCTTACAATCGAGAAATTATTTAAATTTTATATTTATAATCGGGGGGAAGGTTTTTTCAGAGTTTTTATCCCGGGGCTGCAGGTACATATAGTTGGCGTACCAGCGGATGCTGCAAAGAGGAAAACAAGAGTAATAGAAGATGATTGGATTCCGTATTGGGATGAAGAGTTTAGTTTCCCCCTAACAGTACCGGAGCTTGCTTTGTTGAGGATCGAAGTAAGGGAACACGATTTATCCGAAAAGGATGACTTTGGTGGGCAGACATGTTTGCCCGTCTCCGAATTGAGGCCTGGGATTCGATCTGTTCCGCTTTACGACAAAAAAGGTCACAAATATAAATCTGTGAAGCTACTCATGAAGTTTCATTTTGAATGAAAGAAGATAAAACATGGAAATAATATTTTTGTTAATCATTGGTCATCTCGATCACGTGCTTTGAGCAAGTATAGCACATTTTTTTGTGTGTGTGTGTGTGTATTCACATGATTTCTTTGTATACTCAACTTGTTTGCACAGTAACTTTTGTGAGGAACAATAATTCAAAAATAAGTTTGGAAATTGATGAGTAAAATTCTTGTTTTTTGATGATTGCACATAAACTCCTGATAAAATGTGTAGTTGATTGATCTTATTTCGAAAGTTAATGATCCATAAAATTCAATAGTGTTTGATGTGATTAGGCCTCCCAAAAGGTAACGGAGGCGTGCAAAGGTTTTCTCGGCCGGATAGAGATTAGTGATATGTGTTATTATTTAAGTTAATTAGAATTAGTCAAATTATGTATTAGTGGGTAGTTTTTAATTAGTTTGTATGAATTAAATTAGTGGGACAGTAAAGTTAATGGGTTAGTGGGGGTGGTGGTTTAATTATTAATTATGAGTATTTTAAATAGGGTAATTGAAAAGTTACGTGATATGAAAGTATGGAAATCAATACTCTCTTGTCTTCGTATTCTTCTCATAATATTTCTTTTACTTCTCTAAATTCATGTTACACAAATTCTTGTAATGTAACAATGGCATCAGAGCTGTTACGTTCCATGGAGGCACGTAACTAATCATATGATGAATTTCGTGCTGAGGTTATTGAAACTCTAACTCGATATGAATCCAACTTCGACAAAATACACAACATCCTCCAAGTTATTTTCACCAAACTTCGAGCTTTAAGAGCCTCTTCAAAACCCGAAAATAATGTCAATCCCTTTGTTGTGAGAGAAACATCACTACCGGTCAAGCAAAAAATAAATATACCTACAACATTCGCAACTCCAAACCCTCTCCCAAACAAACCTCAAACAACAAATTCCAAAGTCGCCGAGGAAAACGCAATGGAATGGATTTTCCAAGCCAATCAATATTTTGAATTTCAAAGCATTGCCCAAGATCAACATCTGCACCTCGATTCTTTTCATTTAGAATAAATCACCAAGCAGTGGAATCGTTGGTTAACTAAGTTAAATGGCCCATCAACATGAGATGATTTCACTAAATCGTTGCTCTTCCGTTTTAGTTCAACCGAATTTGACAATCCTTCATAAGCCCTCACTCATGTAAAACAAACACTCATTGCTGGCATTCATCAAGAAGGATTCGAGTGACTCTCAAATAATTGATGGGTCACCAGACCCAACAAACTCTCATATCGATCCTATACACATATCAAGACTAATTCTTGAGGATACGGATATTTTGAGTGGGCGGAAATGATACGTGTTATTATTTAAGTTAGTTAGAATTAGTCAAACTATGTGTTAGTGGGTAGTTTAATGATTATTTATGAGTATTATAAATAGGGTAACTTAGAATTAGTCAAACTATGTGTTAGTGGGTAGTTTAATGATTATTTATGAGTATTATAAATAGGGTAACTGAAAAGTTACGTGATATAAAAAATATGGAAATCAATACTTTCTTGTCTTCTTAGGGATTGTTCGGTTACTTATATTGGATTAGATTGGATTACATGAGATTGGATTAACTCCCAACTGACTAATTAATTATTTAGTTAGTAGCATGTTCGGTTTCTTAGATTAGATTTTCTATTAAATTTGTTAAAATCAGTTATTATATATCAATTGTCTATAAAATCACTTAGTTTACAATAAGGGCTCGTTCGGTTACCGCTATAAGGTTCTACTGTCTAAATAATGGGGGCTAATAACATGTCCGGTTGGTAAGATTCACACTTTTTCAAACCCGCTACTAAAGTCAAAGCCCGCTATTAAATGCTACTATTTTATTAAATTAGTAGCACCCCTCCCCCTGAGATTAATTTAATAGGGGGTGACTACAAAGGAAAAATACAATTTTATCCTTCAAATTATATTTTATTATTGTAAACTAAATGGTTTTATAGACAATTTATATATAAAAACAGATTTTAACAAATTTAATAGAAAATCTAATCTAAGAAACCGAACATGCTACTAACTAAATAATTAATTAGTCAGTAGGGAGTTAATCCAATCTCATGTAATCCAATATAGGCTATTTTGCTTCACTGGATTGGGCCGGATGGATCTTCCAATCTGGGCGGATCTCAGCTTTGGTTAGTCACAAGCTGATCCGGGATGGATCCGCGGCCCGGTTACCGATCCCCCAATTAACGGATTACAGATCCGACCCAAACACGTCTGATTGTACAATCCGGTCCGCTAGCCCAATAAAGTGAAATGTTCTTTTACCTTTATGCCCTCAAAATTCCTTTCTTATTACAAATTAGCCGACTATATATTTCAAAATTTCCCCCAAATCTCTTCTTACGGGAGCCCTAGGCAATTACTTAGCAGCGCATTTGGTTTCTTCCCTCTTTCAATTCTTTGATTTTTTTCTGGTTATTTAGTACAATATTTGGTTCTCATCTGTTTATGTTCTTTGTAACAAATTTATATTTGCTGAAGTTATGAATCGCAGTTTCTTTTTGGCGATCTGAACCGGTGGATCTCGCGGGCTTGAGCGGCTTCTAGCAGGCGGCGACCCTGACTCTACGGCGACGGACGTACTCCGGCGACCTATCACCTCCTGAGGTTAGTTTCTTAATCTCCACGGTGACTTGTACTTGTGAAGAGAGTAATTATAATTTACCCATTGTACGATTGTATTTCCATGTTTCTTAATCTCCACGGCGACCTATACACGTTTACTGTCTTTTGTGTGGCTAATTTTTTCACAATCAATTAATAAAAGGTTCTAATTGTGGGTATTCGGTGTCATTGAAACTGCAAAAAGCTTTGGTAACCTCTCACATTAAATTTGAAATTTTGAAACAGTAGCTAATTTTTTTAATATTATTTTTTATTCAACATGGAAATGGGTACTTTGTATGCTGTGGGTGCTAGTGAATCAAATTGTGTATTTTCCATATTTGTGTGGTATTCTAATTTATATGTGTATAAACATATAGTGTGTGTTGAGTGTAAATAGAATATACAATATTCCCACTCTGTGCGGTGGTAATATTTTGTGGTAATATTTATGCTATGTTTCTGTTGTTCACTTAATTATTCTTTGTTGTTATCTTGATTTTGTGAAATTTTTATTACATTAAGTTAATGGCGAACAACAATGAACAACAATTAGTCGTCTTAGCGGCGTACGAGGCAGTTGAGCAGATGAAAATACTACTTGCTATGTTTGCACAGTTGGTCCGTCTGTTTATTCGTCGTCGTCGTACGAACTATATTAGTATGGGTACATCCTATAGCTTAAGAAGTAGGATACCAAATCAGGTTAAAAATCTGACTTACGTTGTCGGTACGAACGACACACTATGCCGTAAAAACTTGAGGATGAACATGAACACATTTGGTAGGTTGTGCTACCTTCTTCAAAATCTAGGCGGGTTAGAAGCCACTAGAAATGTATCAGTGACCGAGCAAGTTGCTTTATTTTTGCACGTGCTTTCCCATCATGAAAAAAACGTGATCATACAAACAAATTACCAAGGGTCGGGGTTTACGGTTAGTAAGTACTTCTCGAGGGTTTTGAAAGCGGTCCTGAAATTGCACAATGTCATGCTCGTACAGCCCGTACCCATGGACGGAAATTGCGAGGATGTTCGTTGGAATTATTTTGAGGTAAATGCAACCTAAATATAATCTTGTTACCACCATTAAACTAAATCTCTGAAACTGAAATAATCCTTCCCACTTAGTAATAACAGTCACCTACTTTTCCTACCTCTGTAGGGTTGTTTAGGTGCGTTAGATGGAACATATATTCAAGTTCGTGTTCCACTAACTGATAAACCCAGGTATCGTAATCGCAAAGGTGATGTATCTGTTAATGTGCTCGCCGTTTCTAATGTAAATCTGAATTTCGTTTACCTACTCACTGGATGGGAGGGTTCCGCTGCTGATAGTAGGATTTGAAGAGATGCGATCACTCGACCTCACGGTCTACGAGTTCCACACAGTATGCGGTCTAAGTTATAAACCAATATATACAAATACATTAATGCAAATAATTAATAAAAATGATCTTCTATTAATGAAATTGGGGCCAATTTACAGGAAATTACTATTTGGTCGACCAAGGCTACACAAACGGAGATGGTTTTCTAGCACCATATCGTCACACTAGATACCATCTCCAAGATTTTGGCGTAGGTAGAAATACGCCCCAAGATTTCAAAGAATATTTCATTTTAAAACACGCAAAAGCTAGAAATTCAATCGAGCGAGCATTCGGCATATTGAAGTCGAGGTGGGGAATCTTAAGGAGCCCGTCGTATTATCCGATCAAAACGCAAAACCGAATTGTTATGGCGTGTTGTCTATTGCACAACTTTATTCGAACCACAAGCGATTTCGACCCCGAAGAAGCATTAGTTCCAGCCGAAATCATCCACCCAGATCCGGACACTAATTACGCCTTCATAGAGAATGTTGAGCCTTCGGAAGTATGGACTTCGTGGCGTGACATTCTTGCGACAAACATGTACAATGATTGGCTAGCTAGGAGGGCTGCATAATTGATTGAATCATATTTTTTGTGTGTTTTTTAGTTTATTTTGGTGTGTATTTTATTTGCAATTACTATTCTGCTTGAGACCAACAATATTTATCCGCTATTGTATTAAACTTAATTATATTTAATGGCCTTAGCAACTTAACTTTTATGGTATATTAAACTTAATTATTTTTTATGGCCTTAGCAATTTATATTTAACCCATTATATCAACTACTGTATAAGAAACACATTTTAATGTAATATATACATGAAAGAAAATGACAACTTCTCAGTCACAAAAGACTTTGGGCAGAGCTAAGTCCCGTACAAATATAACGAGACGAAGTTGGTCAATGATCGAAGAACAACATCTAATTACGGCTTTGAAGGACATTGTTACACGTGGGTGGAAGTGTGACAATGGCTTCAAGACAGGTTATTTAGGTGTCTTAGAACAACACATGGTGCAGAAGTTCCCCGGAACCAACCTAAAGGCGGATCCAATGATTGTGTCGAAGATTCACGTGTGGAAAAAGCAATATGGATCGTTGTCCACTATGCTAACCCGTTAGGGGTTTTGTTGGAATCACGCGGCAAATACCATCGATGTCATTGATGACCAAGTTTGGAACGATTACGTGAAGGTAACACTTTAATATCAAATTAAGTTAATGTACAACTAGTTGCATGCTTACTTACATTCAACTAAATCGCTTTTATTTTTTTTAATAGTCCGATCCAAATGCTCCCTTGATGCGTTTCAAGTCATGGCCGTACTATAGTGATTGGACTATTATATTTGGAAAAGATCGGGCAACCGGTGAGAGTGCCAAAGCACTCTTCGATGCGGTTAACGACTTGACAAAACAAGACAAGCCCGCAAGTGATGCATCGATGGGAGGTGAAAACATCCCATTTGTTACCGGATCCCCGAACGACAATGAGTCGGAGAACATGTCATCGATGCACGGTGAAGCATACATGTCTACACTGAATGGGGAAGGCACCTCGACATCTACTCAACGTAGGGGTAAGAAAAAAATGAATAAGAGGCCACGAAGCGACGACCTTGAGGCTCGCATGGTGGACATGATGGCGGATATGGCCAAAACTTTTGCTGAAACAAAGACATCCCTAGGAGAATTGGCGCAACGCATAGGTTTCGATCATGATGCTTCTAGTACTCGTAGGAAGGTGTTGGATGCGCTTACACCATTGTTTTTGAGTGTCGAGGATAAGATAAAGGTCGCCAAAGCCGTTTGTGGCAGTGCAAATGAGCTGGATATCTTTTTTGGCTTGGACGAGAATGAGCGTGCGATTATGGTCCAAATGATACTCGAAGGTCGCTACTAGGGTGTGATGTGACCAACATTTTTCCCAAACAAACAAGTTACCTAAGCGGCTATAATCAGTAGGACTTGCATGTACTAATTTCAACTTTTAAAACCTTTATGTTTGACAATTATTATTTGTACTATTTCACTGTATTATTTTGAAACTAGCTGTTATTGGCCTTTGTTTAAAGTAAATTATTTTTTGTATTTGAATAAAAATTTTCACCTTTCAACATTAATTTTGATTACAGATACAAGTCGTACGAAAATTTGCACCAACAAACAACAATTTTATTGAAAACAACAACACCATTTAACTGAAGAAACTAAAGTGAACAATTAAGTTAAAAATATAGTGAAAAATGCAAATTTAGTGATAAACGCTCATTCAACGACTTTGTCGGCACATAACTTAGTCTTCTTATATGGTCGACTCGCAATCTAAATTGAATGCATTTTGTGCACGCAATCTACGGATGATTGGCAAGTTGCATCGTAGCTTGGGTATTCGGCAGTCTCGAATTCATCATAATTTTTCGGATCTGGGATATCTTATAATAATCCACTATCACTCGTACCGTACAAGATATTCATCTCTTTCCACATCGGCTCCCCGCCCGCACGATAGGCTATTGCGAACGCGTCTTCCTGTAATTTTAAATAAAATCCCTTGCATTAACTGACAATTAGTAGTGTATATTACATTACAAATTGACGGACTTACCTTCACCAAAGCATCCCAAACGTTTTGCAGTGCGTAGACTATATTTGTTTTCGAAGAATATTCAATGCCATCTTGTTATAGCAACCACGTGAACGTTTTGTAACGTTGTTCAATTTTTTCCAATTTTTGCATACAATAATGACTAGTAAAATGCATACCATACTGATCTATGATTGCATCTATTGCAGCACGTATAGCAGACTCATTGGGCGTGCCGGCGATAAAGTTACCACGTTTTGCCTCGGCCGCTAGCGTGTCGATAAAAAGACTATCCACATTATCGTTCCAATATAGTTCATAAAAACAATCCTCTTGAGTGGGTACAGCCCCATATTTGTTATACATTGTATTATTTGTACGAAGACTATTTTTGAAAATTGTAACTACACCCCTCTATTTATTGTCTATAAGGATGTTCATTTCAACCCTGCAAGTTGTACAATAATGCAACATTTACTATAATGTGTTTGTATCTACATGGTGAATGGAACTGTACACACAGACACACACACATGCTGTTTGACACACAACCACACATACTAAATAATTGATACACACACGCATATAAGCCACACACATACCGTTCATGCACACCCACACACACATATATATATATATATATATATATATATATATATATATATATATATATATATATATATATAATTGACACTCACACACTACATACAAAGCATTATATTTTTTAATTGACACACACATATAATTGACACCATCTGCAAGAATATATTCCAAACACACTGGGATAAAACGCTTCACGTGAAACCAACTTTAATGGTCTCAACCAACAAAAGATATCAGCTTTAATGTTGTTGAACAAGACAATAGAAAGCTGTTTTTTTTTTAATTATAGTTTACTATGTACAATGAGCACTGTTGGCAATATGCTCAATTACATTTTGAAATTGGCGAAATGCACTGTCAAGTTTCTTAACTTTGGAAATTAAATTACATCATGTTATTTAAAAATATAGAAACTTTGCAGGCATATTCAGTTTTTATTCCGAGGTCTGTTAGTGCTTATTATGGTTTTTATTTTTTATTTTTTTATATTTTAAACCTATTTTTATGTTGTGATAGTACTTTGTACTATATTGGAGTCAATGAACTCAAATAGAATAGAGTGTGTGTAATGACATAACAATGAAACTAACAAACGTAGAAACCATCTTACATAATAAACGTACAAACCATCTTATATAAATGTAGCACACCAAACCCTACAAACACCCAAACCAACTTACATATAGCACCCGAAACCGTGCAAACATAAAAGTCTAAGAACGAGAAATAAAGTACGTAAATAAACACACACACATAATAGCCGATTTTTTAAAATTTGTCTCCAAAGAAATACGGGGAGACGGACTAGCCGTTGTTTGAAAATTGGCCTCCAAAGGAATATATAGAGACGAAATAAATACGGAGATGGTTTTCCTTGAAACAAGATCTTACCGAAACCGAACCAACAAATGAACCATTACCTATGGAGCATTCGGACCATGAAATGACCCCTTACCTTTTCCTTTACCATTTGGACGGTTGGAATCGGACGAGCTTACGTTGGGGAAGTGATTGTACCTAGGCATCAAACTCTCTTTCGGCTTCAACGGACTCGGACCATTAGCGGCACGGCGGTATTTTGAATTAGCCGTGCTACATTTGGTGCTCAATGATCCTTCGGAGTCGGAATAGTTCGTGAGGTAATCCCAACCATTAAAGTTCACCGCACTAGAGTCCGAGGAGATGTTTACCACACTTGTTTGAGCCACCCACTACAACAAAATGTAGATATTGCGACATTTGTTTGGAGGCATTTTTTTATAAATGTCTCGAATATAACTTATTGGGGCACTTGATAAAATTTTCTAATTTTAAGACCTATTCGGACATTTATAATTTGGCGACACATGTTTATAAGTGTCTCAGGTGTAATTTTTTTAGGATACTTTTTCCGATGTATCGCAACATCTAATTTTTAGGGACTCTTTAAAATTTAAATAAATTTATTAGATATATTTTAAAAATAATAATTTTCATAATTTAAGTGGTTTTCTACTCGCTCTTGAGTTAACCCTTTCATCGACAATATCCAGAGGCCGAGGCTTCTCCTCAAGGAGAGAGCGACTCCATATCTCCACATTCAAAGGTAATCGCATCCTTCCCTGAGTGTATGTCTCGTCTTCTCTTAATTCCCGTCTCGTCACCTCTTTCCCCAATTTCTATTTCTCTACCTTCTCCTAATCCCAAGCAATTTATTTTTCTTTGCTTATTTGAAACCCTTATTTTAAATTGGAAGAGGCAACGAAAGTAATTATATCTGGGCATCTGATTGATTCTTCTAATTTTTGTTGTTTCAGTGGTTGCAGGACATTTTGCATTTTTTTTTTAATTATTGTCTATGATTTTGATTTTGATTTTGATATATTACTATTGTTAAGGGCTTTTTGCATCTTTTATTTTAGTTGTTATTGCCGATAGTTATATTTACTTTTTTTCTTGGTATCAACTCAAAACATTCCCTTGTTTGTGTTGTATAGTCGAGGGTATTTTTAATTATGTCGTTGCCAAATCAATAATGTTATTGGTGACATTTTTTTCCTACAGAAGCAAAATATCGAAGAAATGAGTTGTAACCAATAAACAAATCAATGAAAATGGCTACAGGTTTGCACCTAAATAAAGATTTGTATTTTGTTTTAAATTTTATTTTGGGCCAAATTATAGGAATATAATTTGTAGATTATACATTATTTGTATAGTCAACTAGCTTAATGAGAAAGTTTGATTTTTCAGCTAACGTTAATGTTTAATTGTGATGTCTCAAGGCCTTTTGTTAAGATGATGTTATAAAAGCTTTGCTTATGGAATTTTTCAGATGCAGTGTATTTGTGGACTCTATCTCTCCATAAAAATGAGATTCATTCCGAATAAATATCTTTCAACGAGCAAGGTTGATCTACTATGTATCTTTCTACTTCTCAGAAATATTTGACGAAAGTTAGTGTTTCAGAAGCAAAAAAATCTGTGGACTATGGTATGTGGAAATTTATATGCGTATTGACTACTCGATTTCTTCTACTGTAAGAAATTTTCAAATCATGGTCTTAATTATGGCATTGATATGCAACTTTTGTTGTAGGGGGCTAAAATATTTCACAAATCATCGACATCATTTTGACAAGCTTGTGGAAGCTTCCTTTTCTTCATTTGCCAAAGATGGTGAAAGTGATAGTTCATGATAAGATGTAAAGCAGTGGGTTTTTTGTTTTATTTCTTCCTTTCTTTTTCACTCGGCATTATATATTATGGTTCCTGATATATAATTATTATTATTTCTCTCGAGCCCAGATTTCTCGCTTACCCCCATCTAGGATTGGCTATATACAGAAATTGCATCGAGCTTGAGCTGAACTTTGCTTCTACCGGTGGCAAGACTGGTCTTCCCAATGCTCGGAATCTTCATATGGTATTTTGGGTTCGTCTAGGGGAATGGAAGGTAATCTCATTTTTTCATTTTTTCATTTTTTATAACCGAATGTGTTTTTCTTGAACTATGTCGAGTCCTAATGTTAGAAGCTTATGCACATCAACTGTCTATATTTTAATATAGAAATAAGAGCTAAATCTAATAATATCATTTAAGAAGGAGCACCAATAGTTGTTTTTTTTTTTTTTTTTATTTAGTAAATAGTTGTTCTAAAACATATAACAAAGTTATGTTAGTGCCCAAATTGTACTTTATGCAGCTCGTGTTATTCTTTTCTGTAATGTGCCTCCAAACTGTTAGTGATAGCTATTTGTTCTTACTACTCCTATTACATAAATGAAAACATGTTCCAAGTATTAGGAGCTAATAGTAGATGATTGATAGTGGTAGTATTGAGTAAGTTGTATCTAAATTCAATTTTGTTTTGCGTACAATTCTCTCATGGTGTATCCATTTGATTTTTGCATCAACCAATATACCTACTGTGACAGGGATACAAGTTTGCTATTCAGTTTGGAATTTGTGACTTATTTTATTGTTATTAATTAATGTGTTTTATTGTTGATGCAGTGAAGCATATGGTGGAGCTAAATCATGCATTTTGAGTTTTTAGTGTTAGAATATTAGAATGATTAGTTAAATATGATGTTCTCTATAATTCTATAGAAAACATAGGCATAGTTTTTGGTACAAAAGTTGTAAAATAACCAGATATTGAAATTGATTGTAATATTTGTAAACTTTCGCTAGCAAATGTAAATGAAATTTCGATGATTGATAGTTAGTGTAAATTTTTATTTTATATTTTTTCTTATTCAATGTCAATGTAGAAATAATTATTTCAATATATATATATATATATATATATATATATATATATATATATATGAAAATTTATAATGTCCTAACACATATTTTTGTGATAAATGCAAATGCCTCAAGGTTGATGAAAGTGTCTCAAAAAGTTTCTTAGTAAAAAATAGTACGATTTTTAGAAGACACATATAAATGCCTCAAAATATTATATCGGGACATATAGGAGTGTCTGGAAAAGAAAATTGTATCGGGACATATAATAAGTGCCCCATGAGCTATTGCGACACACAACTACGCGACATTTGTTTTATTTGCCCAGCTGCAAGTGCCTCTAAATGGTATGTTTTAGGACATTTTTCAGTGTCCCTAAAAGACATTTTTGTTGTAGTGACCGGAATTGGCGGCGAGCTAGTGCGTTCATGGCGCCGGTCGTTGAACGCGGGAACCTTTCCGACGTTATTTTCTTCATCGTCATCGGTCGAAACAACAATAACCTCATTATTGTTGGACTTTGGTTCAACCGCGGGCGGGGCAAAAATGGTTTGAAGCTCTTCCCAATTACTATCCCCATTAGTCCGGTACGCAAATGCAAAAGTGTGCTCCTATTAATATTACAAAACACATTAAACGTGGAACCAAATAATAAATTATTTACAATGTAAGGTTGTTATCAATATACTTTACCTTCAACATAGTCTTCCAAAGCAGGTCCGACGCGGTAACGACGTTGGTTGACTCATCATACGAGACACCGGGAAGTGATAGCATCCAACCGAAGGTTGTGTGGCGAGTTTTGAGGATACCCAACTTTTTCAACATGTATTTCGTAGAGAAGAATTGGCCATGTTTTTTTTCAATCACGTTTTGAGCCATAGCTAGTGATTCTTTGTTGTCTTTTCCAACAACAAAATTGCCTACACGTGCTTCATAAGCCAACACTTGAATGAAAGAGTTATCGATTTTTTTCATCCCAATTTAGGTCGTAAAGAAAATCTTCTTGACGAAACCGGATGGATTTTTTTGGTGCCATTTCAAGAGTTGGTGAGTCTATTGTTATGTTCCAGTGTGTTATATAGTGGAAGTATGTAGTTGTTTTGAATGCAACTTTTCAATGTTGTTAATCATCCATCTGTTGAAAATTTGGGCAATGGCGTGGGAATATTGCAGATTTTGAAAGAAGACAATATTCTCTACATTATTGGAAGAGAAAGTATGGAAAATTTTGGAAACATCAAGAAAAGGTGATGTGTTCGATGGATGTATGAGGTAGAGAATATTTTTAAAGTGTGCACTTCTACTGTTTATTAGTTGGGGCTATCTTGCCAAAATCTGAAAAACAATATTACATAGTTGCGGCTATTCTACAAAAAAGGATAAATCAATATTGCAGCTTAGTTTGGGCTATTTCGTATGAAAGAAAAAAACAGTATGGTATAAAAAGTCTAATTTGCAAAAATACAAAAATCAATATTGCATAGTTGGGCTTATTTTGCAAATAAAAGGAAAACCAATATTGCATTATTCCCTATTCCAAAACAGTTCTTGTATATAGTTGTAGTTCTTGTATATAGTTGTTTTGAATTAGTTTAATTTGGCATTCTGGGATAACATTTTGCAGGAAATAGTTCATTAACCAATATTGATTAGAAATGTGGAGGATCAAGAATTAAGAAATGTTCGTATGAAAGAAAAAAGCAGTATGGTATAAAAAGTCTAATTTGCAAAAATACAAAAATCAATATTGCATAGTTGGGCTTATTTTGCAAATAAAAGGAAAACCAATATTGCATTATTCCCTATTCCAAAACAGTTCTTGTATATAGTTGTTTTGAATTAGTTTGGCATTCTGGGATAACATTTTGCAGGAAATAGTTCATTAACCAAGATTGATTAGAAATGTGGAGGATCAAGAATTAAGAAATTCACATACACATTAGTAATCTCAAAAAAGCTTCATAAATTTTCAACATAGCATTACATAGCCAGTGTCAAATCTGGGAAGGAAATGGTCTCACACAAATGCAAAATCACATTTTCTCAACTGACAAGCACATGTACTTACGCAACTGAAATTGAAATCACAGAATCACCATCATTATAAAAATTGTTATAACAATCACTGATGTCAAAAGGGCAATTATTCTCCATGTTCGAATCCTTGCTTCTTGTTCTGCCACTACGGTTTGTAGGACCTCAATCTTTCTCAGCAAGCCGGGGATGATTAATTTAGCTCTTCCCCCAATTTCGGTATCACACCAAAAAAAAAATTTGCATTTTCCAGCCTGCAAAAAACGGAACCTGTTAAGCAATGGAGAGAATTTGTCTAACAAAAAAAAATCCAAAAGCAATTCAGTCGACAGTAAAAATCATGGGTTGGATCGTTTTTCCGGCACAAATCGGGATCTTACCCCCCTTTTCGGACAACTCACAAAACGGCGACCGGGATTAGCCGTAGTCCACGAAGTTTGGACAACAACTTCCAACCCACAACTGCATACGAATGGGTGAGTATGGCCGTTCAACTCATCACAAAAAAAATGGCGCCCTGTCCGTTGCCGACATGTCGACGAACTGCTGTTGCTGCACATGTGGCCTTCATACTTTTTTATTGAATTTCAAATTTTTTTTTAGAACAGAGCAGTACAAGATGGAGGAAGAAGAGAATCCCTATTTTTTCTAATTTTTGGAGCAGAGAAGACCGTGTATATGAGGAGGATGAATTCAATAAATAGAATTTTTGAGGGCTAAAAATGTCATTCACCGCCATTTACCAGTCAATCCAACGTACCTAACGGCAGAATGATTCACTCGGATGCTATCCGTAGCTACGAATCTGTGAAACCTAATATGAGATAATGACACAATTTCATATATCCCAACAGTGTTTATTGGGGATGGATGTGGGATCCCATCCGATCCCAACCAACGAAGCAAAATAGCCCTATATGTAACCAAACGAGCCCTAATACAATATAATTTTAAGGATAAAATTGTATTTTTTCTTTTTAGTCACCCCCTATTAAATTAATCTCAGAGGGAGGGGTGCTACTAATTTAATGAAATAGTAACATTTAATAGCGGGTTTGATTTTAGTAACGGGTTTGAAAAAGTGTGAATCTTACCAACCGGACATGTTATTAGCCTCTACTATTTAGTCGGTAACACCTTATAGCGGTAACCAAACGAGCCCTTATTCTTCTTATAATATTTCTTTTACTTCTTTACACAAATTCTTGTAACGTAGCATCGCTCAACGCAGATAAAAGTTACTCTATGGACAACATATATATCTCTTTGGATTAGTTCATGCCGTAATTGATCATTGGTTAATGCAAAGTCATCTATTAGTCTAAATTCAAGAAATACACATATATTCAAATATTTTTTTTTGATAGGAATATATTCAAATATTTAACCATTCATAACTTATTCTCTTAATCACGTTCTTAGTGAAGTTATAATATTGATACCTATATATATTTATATAGGGTTCTTTGATATAGGGATTTTTGTGCATAAGTCCCCAACCAAACATTTTTATTATTCTAGGTTTAAGGGATATATCTATTTGACCAATAAGCCCATCTCTTTAATATTTATTATAAATAAAGGAAACATTCATGTATATGCCAATATTACCCCCAACCCCTTATACCCAATTCTTAATTGTAACCCCAATTTAATCAATTTTGTTCACAAAAATCCAATTTTGACTTTTTTTTTCAAAAAAAAAAAAATTTTGCCGCCGGATTCCGGCGTTGATTTTTCGATTTTTTTTTTCCGCCGGCTTCCGGCGTTGACTTTTTGTTTTTTTACGTCCGCCGCTAAACGTTGACCGTAATTGTGCTGACACTGACAATAAATTAACGTAATTATATTGTCACTGACAGTTAATTAACGTAATTGTACTGCCGTTGACAATACATTTATGTAATTGTTCTGCCGTTGAAAGTAAATTAACGTAATATTATTATTTTTTATTTTTTATTATTTTGTTTGATTTGTTGACAAGTCAAAGTAATTATATTACTGTCGTTGACAGTAAAATAACTGTAAACACAATAATATTACTGTCAACAACATCAATATTATTATTTTTTTGGGTTTTTTGTTATGTTTGAGTTATTCACGGAGTAACGTAATAATATTACTGTCTATTATTGTAATATTATTGTGGTCGACGGTAATATTACTGTTGTTATAGTAATATTGTTGTCAACCACATCAATATTATTATTTTGACCATAGATCGGACGAGTTTAATGAGATTACCGACTTGTTGTGGATCCACCCGAAATGCATTAAGTTGGGACTGACGTATCCGTACGTATTCGTCATGGATGGCACGTACAAAACCAATCGTTACGGACTCCCATTTCTTGAGATTGTGGGTTTTACTTGTACCAACTTGACGTTCTCCATTGCCTTTGCATACTTGGATCTCGAAAAGACAGAAAATTTCGAATGGGCGTTGCGTTGTTTGGTGGAGGCCATGAAAAATTGTCCTCAGCCTAATTGCATTGTAACAGATCGAGATTTGACTTTAATGAAAACATTAGCCAATGTGTATCCATCGAGTTATCACTTGCTGTGTCGGTGGCATGTGAACAAGAATATATTGGCCAATTGTAAGAAAATGTTCACAAAGGACAATACCAAATTGAAGCAATTTAAGTCGGCTTTTTCAACTCTGATTAAAAGAAATACTATAGAAGAGTTCAATAGGATTGGAAGTCAATGAAAATAAAATTTGCTGGTTATCCGACGGCTATAGCATATATAGCTAATTCATGGTTGGATCCCTATAAGGAGAGACTTGCATCGGTGTGGACATATAAGTGTACTCATTGTGGAACGTACACTTCTAGTAGGGTGGAAGGGCACACATACGAATGAAAAGGGATGTGCGTAATTCAACTGGCACCTTTGTGGATTTGCATACGAAAGTCCACAACCAAATTCTCGAACAACACAAAGATATCAATGCTTCTTTTGAAGTAAGTAAAAATACTTACCAACACACTTTCAAAATGTTGATATACAATGAGCTCCGTGAAAGTATCTCAAAATTCGATCCGCAATAATTGAAAGTTGAGGTGGACAAGGCGAGACTGTTGTAACCAAGTGATATGGGTTTTAGTTGCGCCATCCAAACAACCCACGGTCTACCACTTTGCCATGCGCTTCATGAGTATGTTGTTGTGTACAAATGTCCTATCCCACTTGAGTTAATAAGCTCGTACTGGAAACACATGAGCATGGAGCCCGTCGCGACCACATACGAAGTCATTCTACCAACCATCGACGAAGAATTATCAGAATACCAAAAGCTCTTTCAATCTGGCGATCTCGATGCAAAGAATCAATTGTGCAACCATTGGAGACATTTTACCCACCCAGAGAAGACTAACCGTAAGGAGCCAAGTGAAAATTTTGTTAGCAAAGGTTGACCGTCAAAAATAAGAAAGACAAATCAAGCACTCGTGACAAATCAACTTTTTAGTATTTGGAGCCAAAGAAAAAAAAATCGAAGCAAGCTAGTTGTTCTCCAAAGGTAAATGTCGCTATTATCGTCTCATTTCATTATTGTTGATGCATTTTATAATTGTGCTAAGTAATTCTGGTTAATATACTGCAGCTTATACCTATGAATCCGTTCAAGAAACGTGTACCGAAGAGATTTAGAGTGACCTCGAATGAGTCTATTAGCACTATACCGACTCAAGAGTCAAGGAAAAACACTATACCGATGGAAAAGTCGTTCAAACCATTGGTTGAAGAGTTAGATGTAGGGTTGCCACCAGGTTTGATCGGCAAGAATAAGTATATTGAGACGATCCATCCACGATTTATTATGCATGTTCAAGAAATCATCAATGTCGGTTCAGATGGCCACTGTGGATTTCGGGCAGTTGCCTCTATGATGGGATTTGGGGAAGATGAATGGGGTCGAGTACGAGATGACATGCTACGGGAGTTGACTGCTATTTTCCATTTACACGGACATGAACCATGGCGTATAAACCGTTATAACCATGCAAACCATTGTGAGTAA